AAAAAAAAAAAAAAAAAAAAAAAAAAAAAAAAAAAAAAAAAAAAAAAAAAAAAAAAAAAAAAAAAAAAAAAAAAAAGGCAACAAAACTCCCAAATGTGCTGCATTCAAAATATGAGAAAAAAAACCCAAATGAGAATCATCCCATGAAATGGCCATCTCAAATCTGTTGCTTTTATTTGAAACATTTCAAAAAGCATAAAAATATATTACATCACTGGGCACAGTGGCTGATGCCTGGAATCCCAGAGCACTTTGGGAGGCCAAGGTGGGTGGATCACCTGAGGTCAGGAGTTCAAGATCAATCTGGTGAAACCCCGTCTCTATTAAAAATATAAAAATTAGCTGGGCGTGGTGGTGGGTGCCTGCAGTCCCAGCTAAGGTGGAGGCTGAGGCAGGAGAATCGCTTGAACCCGGGAGGCAGAGGTTGCAGTCAGCCAAGATCGCACCATTGCACTCTAGTCTGGGCAACAATAGCGAAACCTCCATCTCAAAAAAACAAAGAAAATGTTATATCAAACTTTAAGAAAGAATAAAAATTACGGCCACCTCAAATTCTGTGTGGCTACTGAGCGTAAGGTATCTGCTGAAAAACAGCTGTGCAGCCACGAGAAACAGCCACACAGCCGGGCATGCCTCAGCTGTCTCCACCTCATGAGCCACACGAGGCACACACACAAGCTACCCAACCTCACAGAGCCTCTGCTTCCTCACTTCATAAATGGCTAACTCTGCCTTTCTCCTTGGGTTGATAAAGTCAAGAGTGCTCGTGAAAGTACTCAGCATTATCCCTGGCACAGTGGGACTCAAAAAGGCAGGTATTATCATCAGTCTTCACAGAAACAAATGACACAAGAAACGCTTCTTGTGTAATTATACAGACAATAGTGTTTCATCAGAATTAGAAGAATTCAACACGTTTGGCATGGGGGACTCACTTCTGCCAGTTCATCTGCTACAGACTTGACAGGCACCAAAGGCTGAGCAAGCCCAGCTGAGCACGGTAAGGAAAGCCCATCGTGCACAACGGGCAGGCCAGGGGTTTGCACAGGGCCACAGCAGGAAGGGGAGGCATGTACCTATCCACAAGCTCCTTCACTCCCTCCTTGTCAGGCACCAGAGACTGGTCCTGGTCGTCTGCCAGTGGTGTCCCTGCCTGGCGGTAGATGCAGCGCACCGTGTAGCGCACTTCTGACCAGTAGTTCTGCAGCTGCTGAGGTTCCCGGTCCGCCTCTGCTGAAATTTCTCTGTGAGACAACAAAGGACGGTTAGACAACACAGGACAGTACGCTTCCCTTCCTAGCATACTGTCCTCAGAGCACCTCCCAGGCTCCTGCACCTTGCCCAGCGCCCAGCTCCTGGGAGTCAGCAATCAGGCTGCTGTCAGTGCAGAGAGGGGGACGGCATCCCCTGCACATCTCCCAGGGTGCCCTCTGCGTCCGTAAGATCTCAGCCACTGCACAGATGACAGGAGTGTCTGCAGCTACTGTCCACAAGCAGGGTCCCACATCCCCACTGCTGACCTGCCCTTCACCTCCAAGGTACCTAATGGTCAGCCTTGCCCTCACCTTTGCCCCCCCAACTTGGCTACATTCCTTCCTGAGCCACAGCACAGAGTATTTTAGATGTGCTCCTGGGCCAGGCATGCTGGCTCATGCCTATAATCCCAGCACTTTGGGAGGCAAAGGCAGGCGAATTGCTTGAGTCCAGGACTTTGAGACTAGTGGTGAAGCCCCATCTCTACAAAATAAACAAAAACTAGCCTGACATGGTGGTGCGTGCCTATGGTCCCAGATACTGGGACTGAGGTGGGAGGGTGATCACTTGAGCCTGGAAGGTAGAGATTGTGGTGAGCTGAGATCACGCGACTACACTCCAGTGTCGGGGACAGAGCCAGACCCCGTCTCAAAAAAAGATGAGCTCCTGGGCTTTCCCCTCAGCCACACAGCAGCTGCCAGTCAGGCCCCTGCCCAACACTCCTCTCCTTCACTGGGGCTGCTCTTAGATTCTGCTTATTTAAAGGACTCCTCCTGTTCTGAGGATGCTTCCTAGTGCCAGTTCCTCAAGAGTAGGAGTTTTTGTCTTACTCATCTGGCTCTTTTTCACAATAGCCAAGTGACTGCCTCAGTCTCCTCGTTGCTGTCCATCACATTAGCCCAGTTTCTCAGTCCGGCTCCAACATGCATCTGCACATTGTTGTGGACAGGTGTGAGTGACACACAGCACATACCTGCGCTCACTGCAGGCCTCGCACGAGCAAGCGGTGTCCGAAGGTAGTGTCTGTGCGCCCAGAGGGAGCCTCCCACCACTGCCAGCCTCCGGCTGGGAGCCACCAAGCGAGGAATGAAGAAGAAAATCTTGGCTCTGCTTTAAAAAGAGAACAGAATAGACCAGTTATGTTAAAATGTTCAAAGCATCAATTTTTTATTAACTGCTTGGAAAAATATCTTTTTAAAAATTGTAAAATCTAGACATTGACAAGAAAGTATCTTGGCCGGGCACAGTGGCTCACACTTGTAATCTCAGCACTTTGGGAGTCTGAGGTGGGTGGCTTGCTGGCAACATGGTGAAATCCCACTGCTACAAGAAATACAAAAAATAGGCCAGTCATGTTGGTGCCTGCCTGTAGTCCCAGCTATCCAGGAGGCTAAGGTGAGAGGATCATTTGAGCCTAGGAAGTTGAGGCTATAGTGAGCCGTGATTGTGCCCCACTGCACTCCCACCTAGGTGATACAGACATTGTCACACAGACATACACACACACAAAGAAAACAATTCAGCTGGGTATGGTGGTTCACACCTGTAATCCCACCACTTTGGGAGGCCGAGATGGGAGGATCATTTGAGCCCAGGAGTTTGAGACCAGCCTGGGCAACACAGCAAGATCTTCTCTCTAGTTAAAATTTTTTTAAGTATAAAAATTATACTAAATTTAAAAAAGAACAGTTTTACTCCCGGTATCCTAATGAGCACATGCGATGACCACCTCAATGTGCACCTCTGGAAAGTGATGTGCCCATGGTCACCTGAGACAGCATATAGTAGAAACCTGGTGGCCTCTCTGAGCCTCGCATCAAGCAGCGCAGGGCAGAGGCCTCTCTGTCCTGGGGAATCCCATAGCCTGCACTACCTGCTCTGACTGAGGAAAAAGGAGGTTTAAGAAAGAGAACCCTCAGCCACGTGTAATAGCTCACGCCTGTAATGACAGCACTGTGGGAGGCCAAGGCAGGTGAAACCCCGTCTCTACAACTGCTCAAGCAATCTTCTTACCTCAGCCTCCTTAGTACCTGGGACCACAGGCATGTGCCACCACGCCCAGCTACTTTCTGCATTTTTGGTAGGCACAGAGTTTCGCCATGTTGCTCAGGTTGCTCGCAAACTCCTGAGCTCAAATGATCCACCCACCATTACAAAAATTGGCTGGGTGTGGTATCGCGCACCTATAATCTCAACTACTCAGGAGGCTGAGGCAGGAGAATCTCTTGAACCCGGGAGGTGGAGGTTGCAGTGAGCCGAGATTGCGCCAGCATGACAAACAGAGCAAGACACTGTCTCAAAAAAAA